GATACCCCGATACCAGTATCCAAGTATCAATGATACCCAGAACCAAGTATATAAACCAGAACTTGGACAGAGTGGCTTAACCTAAGAAACTCCAGAGTTTGACACTTGAACAGTGGAAGAAGTGGCTTGTCCAAGCAGCCTCTCAAAGCCTGACATTTGGCAAACACTTCCATTAAGTTCACTAAATATATCGTAGATTGGATTGACCTATATACATCTATCTCTCTATCTATCTACCTATCTATTGTTCTATCGTTCGTCCTGCTTGGTCAGAAGGGAGGTCTTCATCCACTTCAGTGGGTCGGGGGATGCGTGGGCGTCGGCGTTGTTTTTTTAAGTATTTTTTACTTGTTGATTTATTCAAAAAAGAAAGGACGAAGAAGAGAAGAAGGGAGGAGTGAGTGCTGGTGGGGAAGCGGATTTCCAAACGCGACCCCCCACACTCACTACCTACCCAAGATTTTTTATCATTCTATTTTGATATATATATATATATACAAGATTGTTGGAGTAGTTTTTTTCAGTCGGGGTGTATCGGTGGCAGAGAGACCCCACAAGCAAACTCTACGGTGTCATTCTGACTGTTTATATGGTTATATGGTATCTAGTTGGCTCAAGTGTGGCAGGAACAGGATGATGAAACTGGCATTATGGGAATATAAACCCCAAGCCCAAAAACCCCACCACAAAACAAAACACAACAACCTAATCAATCATCCACCTCGTTGAATTATAGCAATGATAGTGAAAGTTATGAACCTAAAACACGCATAACAAGACCCCAGAAAAACGACAAAGGCTCAGCACAAATGTTCAAGAGCCAAGAACATTCAACGAGGTGATTGATGAACCAAAACTCCCCAGAACCCCCATTTTCCCAGAACCCCAATTTTACATTTTTTTTTAAAACCCCAGGGCCTCAGAGGCCTTGGACCACCGGAACAGTCCCATGACTCGGTGGACGAGGCGTCGAGGCGAGACTCGGTCTGTGGCGTCTCCACACGAGCTTTTCGCCGTTTGACACCGGCTCTCCGCAAGACGACCCGGTCTCCGCAAAGTCCAGTTCTTCCCTGCAAGTCAGATGTTGTGTATTTCAATAAGAAGACCACCCAGGCATTCTGATCTGTCTGGAAGAAGGATAAACCAACACAAACAAGGGAGATCTCCCTATTCAAACCAAGGGGATCTCTTTCTTACAAGTCGACGTCAACACCCCCGGTTGATGGTTCGACCTCCGGACGGAGCTCTGAGCGGCCGACATGGCCACATCGGACTGACCTCTGAGGACATCTATCTCCACAACACCTTGGTGATCCTCACCGACTCCACGTCGTCCCCCAGCGCCGACGGGCTCGGCGCCGGCGCCGGCGGGCTCGCCGACGCGCGGCTCTCGGACTTCGGCGCCTGTGCGGCGGTGGACGCCGCGGAGCTGCGGAGGTGGCGGGTCGAATACTAGTATTGGATGGTATACCACCTGGTCTTGGAGACTTGTTTGTAAGGTTAATATGGACGGCTAACACATCCTGGTGTTCTGTCCCTGGTGTGAATTTCGAGCATCCTGGTGTGAATTCCCCTAATGCTTGGCGTTAGGGCCTTAGGACTACAAAATGTAATTTTTGAATGCAGGACCCAACGGCTATTCTCCAAATTCACACCGCGATGAAAGAGCACTGCAATGATTGAACATGCACTCGAATGTTCTGAAGGTGCCTTCAAACTGGCCTTGCATCTCTGAGAAGGAAAAGATGATTCAACTGTTCCGGGACTCTTTGCTTCATTGACCATATCACATCATATCACATCACCATACCCAGCAAGTCCAAAGACGGGTTAAACTGGTGCGTTGACCCACTGGGCCACGCGACTCGGCGTCCGTGCTACGGCCGTGGTCCCGAGTGGTCCCAAGACCGGCAACTCCGATGGTTCACCCAAGCTTCATGTCGGGGTGCTAAACATGGAGATCCACAAGTAACGTGTAGTACTAGTTTAGCAAGGAGACCCTTGGATTACGGAAGGTGCATGTTTATAGTCGTTCAGTCTTGAATATGTCATTCAGACATCAATCACGTCAGAGTGACGTGGCCGGAGTGCACTTGGACGAACACATCACACGGAGGTGGAGTTGAACCCCCCTGTTTGCGTCCAGAGAAGTTTGGGAAGCGAAGTCCAACCATCTTCGAGTGCTTCGAAGCACTCGAAGAAAAGGCTTCCCTTTGGAGGGAACCTGTCCTTTTTTTGAGGGGACAATCTAATTTATAACGATTAGACCTAGAATACCGCAACGTCATGGGAGACTGGCGAATTCTGAACCTGAGTTGGGAGACAAGTCTCCACATGACCGATCGGTGTTTCACCGGACCAACGCCAGACGCCAGGTTGGAGGTGCGCTCTTTTGGCTGGCTCTTGCAAGACTTGCTGGAATGCCATGTGCCTCCCGGCACCGAGGAGGAACGACGAACCATTGAGCTGCTGAAGGCAACGGGTGGAGATCGCAGAACCCGAGGTGGTTCCCTCGGTCGAGGACGGGGGAAGAGGTCGTAGGGGTCGCGTGGCCTGAAGATGCGAGCGTAGGGGTTTTCATCTGCATGGTTCCGGATTAACCCAGAATTGGTTGAAACCACTCCAATGGAATCGATCTTACCGTGGCTATGATCCCACCCGATTCCCTTGAAACGGGTCCATCCCATGCTCCTAGTCAAACCTGAATGACCTCTTTTGGACCACCAACCACCACCCATGGTCGTTTCGTCTCAAAACAGAGGTCATGTCTGCCAAAACCCAGGTTGAAAAACGCTCTGGAACACTGTGCCTGGGACATGGGCGTGATTCCTGTGAGAGGGATAGCCCCCAAGATCGCATAGCCCCCCAACATGAAAAACAAAGAAACAACTCAAGAAACATGCTTTTTGTGTAGCATAGTCTATCACTCATTCGAACTCAACATCTTTCAACGTCAAACACCTTGATAAATCCCCAAACACCACCCAGGTTGGGTGGTGATTGGAAGGAACATACATGGTCAGCGAGTCAGCGGGTACCCATTCCCACTCTGTTTTCGTCCTTGTTGGAGGCAGACCGGGTAGACTGGACCCCGACCGTCCCACCGTTCCCGTGAACTCGGTCCACCTTCCAGGTGTGGCGGGAGCGATGTGGAGCTGAAGATCCGGAGCAACTGCCATCCTTCCAAGAGATTCATGCGGCCCTCAGCACCACCGGTGGAGATGGCCCCCCTCCCTAGAGGGGCAGGACGCGCGCAGCATGCGGCAGGAGCTGGGGGGGCTGGGGAGCACTGGTCGACCGACCCGACGACCGGGGTGGGTGGACGGTGGCCGATGAGTCGTTGAAAGAAGCGAAAGAAAGAAAAGTGAAGGTCCAAGCAGAAGCAACCGTATCTACTGCCTGTGATTCATATTCATATCTGATACTTTTGGGTGATTTGGGGTGTGATCTTTCTGAACATGGTCATCGTCCCGGCTATCCCAGCTCTTCGGTCCGCGACCGCCCGGTGAGGAGCGAAGAAGACACGAAGGGAAGCGCGCGAACCGGTCGGTCCAAGGCGGCCCCAAAAGGTGGTCGGCTACGGGCGGGACGGGTCGGAGCAACGAGGAGGTCGAAGAAACGAGTGACGCTGGAGAACGAAGTTGGAACGTTGGAACTCATTGTTCAACGGAACGGTGTTCTTGAAGCTTCATCTCCAAGAGTACTGGAATGTACTGGACATGCTAGCATGCTGCATGCGCAATCAGCATGCTCCCCGTCAGCTGGTCCTTTTGTTGATTCGGTTGTCCGGCGAAATGCCCTCCTTTTCACAACATGTCCGGAGGCTTCGCCATGATTTCTCTGGAAACCACATACGGAAAGGGCAAGATTCCAGACATGTCAACCTGTGATGCAAAGCACAGCCCTACAAGTCCAAAGCCTAAAATTAGTTTGATCGACTGAAGTAAAGGACGTTTCTTTTCAGCTCACCTAAAGATCATTGTAACATCGTTTTAGACTCCCAAAAACAGGCCACGAGTTCCGTATATGGAGACGAGCTGGGGTCCGAAAAAAGGTGGGGGGTGAGACCCCATCCCAGACCGGGGTGGATGTGAAGCCTTTCTCCGGACGCCAACAAAGGCCAAGAATGACATGAGCATGTACCCGAGTCCGGTTCTCCCATGGACGGATTTCCATGGGGAGAAGTGAATAGTTGACTATGTTGTTTTGATCCGATCTGTCGAACCCGATGTCGGTCCCTTTCGATCAAAAACCATCCACTTCCATCCATATCGTTCTAGGACGTGCATCCAACAGAGGTTCAGTGACCTGAACTAGGACCTGAGGACCCGGACATCAGTTACGCCGGGGTACCTGGTCGTCGGTCAGTCGGTCGTCCCGCCCCGAGGTGCCCGGTGGTACTTCCCAGCGTCAGCAGTGCATCCGCGGTGTGTCTTGCCTCCATAAGGGACACACACCATGATTCTTTTTTTCCCAGACACAGAAAAAGCAGCATCCACTTGTCAAGTCAAGCAGTTCGTAGCGTTTTCACACCTGAGAGTTTCCGTTTGGACTTCCGACCGGTTCAATATGAGGGATTGGTTTGACCTCAGACCCCTCCAGAGGATTCGGGTCCGGTCCCTCCATATGAGGGTGGTTCAGAATTTGTTGGACGAAATCACGGCCGTTCTGGGCCTGGGCCTGATCATGAGAAGCGACATGAGCCATACTCCTCGTGAAAGGGACAGGAAAGGCTCAGCTTCAAGTCTTTTTCTATATCACAGGTCTGGCCACAGGAATTCCTAAGCCAGCAGCACGAACAGCGAGGTTTATTGAAGCAGTGAGTGTCCATTTTCAGCCAAGCATCGCAAAGAGGAGAGCATGTTAGACCAATCTTGGCAGGATGGTTCAATCATCCGTTCACCATGTAGGTACCGTTCTATTTTAACCCATACCTCGGGTCCAATCAAATTTTCAATGTTTTTGTTTTGGCACGCAGGTACGCAGACTCCTTGGCATCTTTTTTTTAAATGTGTTTACTACTCACTTGTGGTAGTCAGACCGTTCTACCACCAGTTCGACTGTCGAAACCAGCCACGTCGTCCAGAGTCCACCAGGCAGGGGCCTCTTTGGAAGTCGCTGGCAGACGATCTTTGCCGCTCCGCCGGTGTTGGGAGAGACCCAACCGGGGTCTCATCGGTGGGTCCCATAGGGGTTGTGTTGGAGTTGTGGCCGAGTGGAGGGGTTCAGACGGAGCACCCCGCCTACCTCCAGAACGGTTTCCATCTGGATGATCGTTCGTTCGGCGCAATGAGAACGAAGCATGGAACTCTGGTGATCCCACCCGGTGTTCAGTCGCACCAGGGCACCGGGGCAACACAGAGGATGTCCAATTCAACTGAGGGGGTTTTATTCATCAAGAGTCTACATTGTACATTATGCTCCAATTTCACAACTCCATGGCACTGCGCCAGTTTTAGACGTCTTCGGCTTGGTATGAAGCGGTCGACCTACTAGCTGAGTGCGAAATTGATGTTCGAGATGAACGTCTGGTCCTTGTTCAGGGCAGGATCCGGATCTTCGAAAAGGGTTTTTGAGGATACCAACCCCTGTGACAGCCGAGGCTTCGACCGGAGCCGAGGTCGGTTTTCGTTGGAGCCGCCGAGCCCCTGCCGAGGTTTGCCCGAGAAGCCTTCTGGGCTGCTGCTTCTGCGTCGCAGGATGGCCAAGCGAAACGATGCGTCAATCGGTGGTCACAGGGCACCATGTAGACTCTTGATGAAGATGTTTTCCAATCCACATGGGGGAGGGTTGTGAATCAAGAGTCCATAATCCTTTGCTACTGCCAGCCATGGCGGTGCAACACCTAGAGCAACCTAAAGCTTTAGTAGGTGCTTCCACCATCTGACTTGGCTCTGACATGGCTCTATGTTCGGTCAGGCTCCAGGTGTTCGCGTGTCATGACCCACTCCTTTCGCTCTTGGCGAAGGCCGATCTACGCGATCTGGGTCCCGAAATCGAGCGACTGAAGAGCGTTCGCAGGTGTCGAAATCTGCTGGGCGGCTCACAGGTCGAAATGGGTCTTTTTTGTGGACTCTTGATTGACGACACCCCACATAGGAAGAGGTCTTACCATCCGAATGGAGGCGGTTTATTCAGCAAGAGTCTACAGTATGTGGCTAGACTGGTTGGTATGGAGTTTCAATACGACGTGAACGCATGATTTGTCAGATCTGCAAAGAACAACGCATATTGACCACCCCCTCAAGTTTTGGTGGCGCCATCGCTCGAAAACTGAAACGATCGAGACTCAGCTCGAGCCTCTGTCGCTCCGCCTTAGCACTGGCCCACCACGGTGTTGTTCCCCACCTTTTTGGAACACGCCCACGTGACGCCATTCCGGCACCGGTGCCTGCACGCGATGTTCACAGGAGGAAGAGGTTCAGGTTTAAACGCACCGTGACGCAAAAGGCCACCAGAACAGCTCCGGGACGTGCTGTGCTTGGACTGGTTCGTTGCGGGTCATCCGGAGGGTGGTCGCTGGTGGTCGCAGGCAAAGAGAGCATCACATGTTGCTTGTTGGGTGGTTTCGCCAAATGTGGTACATCGCATCTTCACAGAGTGCTCTCCTCTCACTCACAAGTCTTCGCCTTGATCACGGAAATCCAACCCCTGGATGGCAGGGAGGAGATCTTTGAGCAGGTGATCTTCTTCTATGCGCAAGAGCTCAACCCGCACGGATCATCATGATTTGAATTCACTGAGGCAACCGCCTGCCCACACTCCTTCGCCGAGCCTCGAGATACGAAGCGACAGAGATGCTTCGCAACGCGAGAGACCGAGGTCCCGAGCTCTGCAGACCGAGGTCCGGAGCTCGAGCGCCATCACTCAGTCAGAGTGGACGTCGAACAGCCGCCACTTCAAAGCCAAGCCCGAATGGAGTGGAACAGGGGGTCACAGCTTGACGTGACGACGGGGAAGAATTCAGCCAGCGCGCCACGGGCGACCGTGCACAGCGTGTTGAAACACCGCCGCTCCGCCGGACATCCGCCGGACGTCCGTCCGTCCGTGCAGAGATGTCAGGGGTCCGGAGACCGATGCTCTTTCTCAAGGGATTGGGATGGGAGGACACGGTATGCGAACGACGAATCTTGACAAGGTATGATTTATAGATGTTTTATATAGTTTAAGTTGTAGAGGCTATAGGAATGTGTAACGTGTATATAATATATAATAATGTATATATATACGATTATATTAGATGCTCCTCTTTAAGGACTAATTACTGACTGTTGAAATAGTCAGCTCGTCCTCAAGCGATGGGATAACAAGGATGGACACCTCTTTCAGTTGGTTGACAAGGATGCAAACACTTACAGACATCGACTTGGGTAATTTTCTGCGATCGGAATCCAATGCACACTGGTTTTAGAGTAGATGGCACTGGCACCCCAAGACTCCAAGACGTCGTAGACAGATTGGGAGGGGTCCATACAGATCACCAAACTTGGGGTAGCTTGTGCCATCTAATAACAAGAAGCTACTAGTAAGAAAGGGCATCGCTACGAACGGAGCGCGCTACGAACGGGGCACTCCTGGCCTTACTAGTAACAAGAAGCTGCTCGTTTGAAACCTCCAGATCTCGAGCTACCAGACTGGCCGTCTCCCACTGTCTCCCACCGGGTCGCCGACGTCACCCGCACCGGTGGACCAAGTCAGACGCTCGACGCTCGACCGATGGTTTTCACAGTGACTCCTAGACTGCTTGACTGCTAGACACATGAATGAAGAACGCCCGGTTTCCCTCACGTTTTTTTCAACACACCTTGTATCATGTTTGTATCATATAGTTTGTATAATATATATATATATATATAAATACATATATATATATATATCATAACATATATGTTTTGTATAATACTCATGTCGCCTGGTCTCCATCCTGAACAGCCCTGCTGCTCAACCTTGCGGCGACCTTGCCCCCATTCTCTCCAATGGATCCCCTCCCGGGGCCTGGTCGGTCAAGCCTCGATCCCAGTGGCCCAGGCCTCACGTTGGTCTGCAGCGACATGGGGCAGGTGGCCATGGGCAGCAAAGCAGCTGCTTTGAGGCGAATTCGGAGGGTGTGGAAGCTGCTGCTTACGCGAGAAGTGCTTCGGTGGAAGCGTACCACGTGGTTGGGGAGTACGTCGGATTTCGGAAGGTGCTTGTTTTAGTGAATACGTTTCACTGGAAAAACGTGGTTGGGGATGCCGTGAACCTCCCCGGTCGATGCACTTGCAGAGGCCGATCTACCACCTGGTGGCCCTGCGGCCCACTAGCGAAGAGGCCTTCCGGATGGCCTGTGAGAAGGCGGGGGCTTTGGGAAAAGGTGAGGCTTGAGGCTGTGGTGGTTCGCTGTGGGGCGGTGGGGGAAATATATCGGAGCTTTGCGATTTTTGGTGTGAAACGATCAGTATACCAGGACCTTCCGTTTGGCCCCGTGCTTTTGGAAGACTCCGAATCACCATCCGAATCACTTCGTCTTACGAGGCCAGAGACACCTCAGCTTCGGAAGGTCCTGGTATCTACGGTTTCCGAACGAGATCGTTCCGCAGAACGGAACGCCGCGGAACGCCGAACGGATCCCGACTCCGCCGACAGAGCGGAACCCGACGTCCGGATCGATTGCAGGGGGTCGACGACCCGAAGAACCCAACGCCCTTCTTCCCATTTTGAGGGTCTGGATTCTCCGGGCGGTTGTGGCTGGTGGACTTCGTGTTTGCCAGTTACGAGCTGGTGGCCCTGACCCGACCCGATGCCACAGAAGCGCCTGGAGATCTTCCGACTGCAGCTTGGACCAAATGGACACGGAGTCCACGTGAACAGTGATCCAGCAGTCCAGCCGCTCGCAGTCCAGCCCACCGCTGTTGGCCTCCCCCCGTGCACTGTTCCGAGGACGAGCCACGATGCAGACGATGAATATCGACGATGTATATGCCCTAGGGCTCCTGGCCCACCTCCTGA